GTAGTCTGTAACCTTCAGAAAATTACTTTAATGAAAATAAAACCATCCCACAGAAAATCCACACCTTCAGAGCAGCTATTGAAAGCACAAAACTTACTGCTCTGCTATTTATAAGATACTATCTCACAGGCTAAAACATTATTTACCTATTTCAATTTATTATAATTATAAAATAATTGAAACAAAAAAGCAAAATGTTGAGGAGAAATAGCCTAAGCTCCATGCTTTTAATGTATAAATGCCAATTAAACAACAAATTGTTTTTTATCACTTCATTTCTGTTTTATTTGTCAATTAATAATAATAAAATATGTAATAATGAATTTAGATATTCCATTAGTGTCCATAGAGTGATGCCAGAGGGAACATAAGCTTCCAGTTGGGCCACTTTTGGAATTCATTTTTTGTAAAATATTAATTCTTTCTACACTTAATAGGTAAAACACTTTGTACATCTAGTAATTTCAGATTGCAGTTAATCAAGCACATAAAAATTTGTGAGCAAAATAAGCAATCTGTGGTCAACCTGATGATAAATGATCATTCAGGTTATCTGTAACTTTAAATATAATTCATAGTCCAAAAGGAATTCATTTTGGCAAAGTTTGAATAACAAGTATAATATATCCATTTAGAATATGAAAGTTATACATTAATTCAAGAACTAATTTTTTTAAGATAATTACAAATGTGTTTGTTTATTATTAAATTTATTGACAGACTAGTCTCTACCATGAAATAATAAATTATTTCATGGTAGAGACTAGTATATGGGAAGATACATATGAATGGGAAAATCTTCCCATTCATATGGGAAAATCTTTATATATCCGCTGCTTTGCCATGTAATGCACCGACATTGGAAATACCACAGCTATGGATAACTTTATTTAAACAATCCAAGTTATAATTTTGTGTTCTAATTTTATTCCATTACTATGCATGACACCATCAATCAATATTTATATGTTTTGGGGAATTCAAGTTATTACAGCAGATTTCTTTAAAGAAAATATTTATTTATTCAATTTTATTAATTTGTTCTATAGTTCAACCACGTGCATTACTTAATTTGGAAAGTCCGTTAAAAGCTGTCAATTCAAAAACAAAGGTATTCGATTTCGCCTGAAGACGATGGTTGTAAACTGTTGAAAGTACTAGCAAGCATGTCTGAAATTTAACAAATCGCTGTCAATAACGCTGCACGGAAGTGTCATATTTTTAATTTTTAAATAATAAATTACTTTAATCATTAGAAAAATAGAGTTAAATTTTATAAAAACTTAATCCTTTTGCAAATATTATACATTTATAAGTAATAATTTTTCTCAATTTTATGATGGTGATTTACCTGATTTATAGATCATACGAAAAAGTCTTTAGATTACACTTCATTAGATTAAGTTGCTTTTGTATAAGCTGAGATCAAAACATGATATTTTTATTTCTCTGGATAAAGAGTGATTAACCTATGGTAAGTGTGCCCAAAGTGGCACATAGTGAGAAACCATCTGGCACATAATGTATCACATATTTTCAGTTTATCATCAATCACCTTCTTTACATTTATTCTAATCAAAGCATATTCATTTAATTTCTTTAAATATCGTTATTCAAAGTCAAACTTTGGCATGCACAAACATTTTTAAAGGTAATTATGCTTAACATATGGCATGTACACTCAGAAAGGTTTGCCATCCCTGCTCTAGGTTATGAAATTATCTTATATACATAAGAAATGTAAAAATGTTTCAAAGAATCAAGATGATATATATTGATATTTATGTGCAAAACAATCAATAAAATAGTTTCATACATTTCATGCTAATGTTATTATAAGGCTATATCTATATTTAACAAAGGGTTCGTAACAGAAAATTTTTCCTTAACAATTTTTTTTTTCGCTCAAATAGTGCATCGGAAGGCTCTAGTTTAGTAGTGTTACAGAGTATAATACGTATATTTTAATATTTTTAAAAGAATCAAACCATTGAGAAATGTTACATATGTTTAACAAGGTTCGGAAAACTTTGAAAATGTTAACAACGGGTTCGGCCGAACCTGTGCGAACCCGCTGAATATCACCACTGTTTACAAGCCAATAAATACTGTCTTTAAGGAACTGGACTAGCTGCTGAGATAACCAGGTTCTTACTGCCTCTTGAACCTTATTGTTTGGTATGAATCAATGTCCTTTGAGAATTTTTTAAGTGGTTCAAAAATGTGGAAGTTACAGGGATTAAGATCGGAACTATAAGAAGGGTGTCTTAACACTTGTATCTGTGGAGAAGTGGGTGATGTGCAGTCATTCTTTTTCAGCAGTTAAACTACACCAAATGAAAGATTATCAGGTCATTTAGTCTTTGTGGCTTCTCCACAGACACATTGCATCATTTTGCATGGAAAGTGTTAAGATACCTTACATATAGCCCCAATCTTAGCCTGTGGACTTCCAATGACTTTCACTTTTTTGGACTTCTTAAAAAAATCTCAAGTGAGAATAATTTTGCATCAGACAACAAGGTTCAAGAGATAGTGAAGAACATGATTCTCACAGCTTCCAGCCTAGTTCTTCAAGGATGGTATTCATTGGCTTGTAAAATGTTGGAATAGATATCTAAATTATCATGGAAACTTTCTTTGAATAAAGACACTTATTGTTTTACAATCTGATTCTTACTTTTATCTGAACTTCCCCCATTTGATTTTCAATTTTATGGAATTTTTATTTCTAAAATTTTAGATTCACTTTTAAAGTTATAAATTTATAGGTTTCTGATAAATCATATGTAATAATGAACATAATTATTGTCAGGATTTTCCAAATTAGTTATATCTTAATGTAGAATGCTAATGACACTATATTTTTATGTATATAACTTATGGTAGTCTGTAACCTTCAGAAAATTACTTTAATGAAAATAAAACCATCCCACAGAAAATCCACACCTTCAGAGCAGCTATTGAAAGCACAAAACTTACTGCTCTGCTATTTATAAGATACTATCTCACAGGCTAAAACATTATTTACCTATTTCAATTTATTATAATTATAAAATAATTGAAACAAAAAAGCAAAATGTTGAGGAGAAATAGCCTAAGCTCCATGCTTTTAATGTATAAATGCCAATTAAACAACAAATTGTTTTTTATCACTTCATTTCTGTTTTATTTGTCAATTAATAATAATAAAATATGTAATAATGAATTTAGATATTCCATTAGTGTCCATAGAGTGATGCCAGAGGGAACATAAGCTTCCAGTTGGGCCACTTTTGGAATTCATTTTTTGTAAAATATTAATTCTTTCTACACTTAATAGGTAAAACACTTTGTACATCTAGTAATTTCAGATTGCAGTTAATCAAGCACATAAAAATTTGTGAGCAAAATAAGCAATCTGTGGTCAACCTGATGATAAATGATCATTCAGGTTATCTGTAACTTTAAATATAATTCATAGTCCAAAAGGAATTCATTTTGGCAAAGTTTGAATAACAAGTATAATATATCCATTTAGAATATGAAAGTTATACATTAATTCAAGAACTAATTTTTTTAAGATAATTACAAATGTGTTTGTTTATTATTAAATTTATTGACAGACTAGTCTCTACCATGAAATAATAAATTATTTCATGGTAGAGACTAGTATATGGGAAGATACATATGAATGGGAAAATCTTCCCATTCATATGGGAAAATCTTTATATATCCGCTGCTTTGCCATGTAATGCACCGACATTGGAAATACCACAGCTATGGATAACTTTATTTAAACAATCCAAGTTATAATTTTGTGTTCTAATTTTATTCCATTACTATGCATGACACCATCAATCAATATTTATATGTTTTGGGGAATTCAAGTTATTACAGCAGATTTCTTTAAAGAAAATATTTATTTATTCAATTTTATTAATTTGTTCTATAGTTCAACCACGTGCATTACTTAATTTGGAAAGTCCGTTAAAAGCTGTCAATTCAAAAACAAAGGTATTCGATTTCGCCTGAAGACGATGGTTGTAAACTGTTGAAAGTACTAGCAAGCATGTCTGAAATTTAACAAATCGCTGTCAATAACGCTGCACGGAAGTGTCATATTTTTAATTTTTAAATAATAAATTACTTTAATCATTAGAAAAATAGAGTTAAATTTTATAAAAACTTAATCCTTTTGCAAATATTATACATTTATAAGTAATAATTTTTCTCAATTTTATGATGGTGATTTACCTGATTTATAGATCATACGAAAAAGTCTTTAGATTACACTTCATTAGATTAAGTTGCTTTTGTATAAGCTGAGATCAAAACATGATATTTTTATTTCTCTGGATAAAGAGTGATTAACCTATGGTAAGTGTGCCCAAAGTGGCACATAGTGAGAAACCATCTGGCACATAATGTATCACATATTTTCAGTTTATCATCAATCACCTTCTTTACATTTATTCTAATCAAAGCATATTCATTTAATTTCTTTAAATATCGTTATTCAAAGTCAAACTTTGGCATGCACAAACATTTTTAAAGGTAATTATGCTTAACATATGGCATGTACACTCAGAAAGGTTTGCCATCCCTGCTCTAGGTTATGAAATTATCTTATATACATAAGAAATGTAAAAATGTTTCAAAGAATCAAGATGATATATATTGATATTTATGTGCAAAACAATCAATAAAATAGTTTCATACATTTCATGCTAATGTTATTATAAGGCTATATCTTAGTAAAAAAATTAATTTTTATATTGAATTAGTCATTTGAAAATGTTGAATTGATAAATTATTTTAAAATTATTAAAAATTAATACTTCATATAATAAATATTTTAATTTAAAAAAAAACAAAAGGAAATCGACAAACAATTGCCTTTGATTATTGTTGGAATATTTTTAAAAATTTTACATCTTTCAATTTTTCAAAATATTTTATAATACTGTTTTTAATTAATTTTTTTTATTTTTTTTTTATTTTGTGCTATCCTTCTTCAGGAAGCTATTCGTCCAACTGTAAAGGTATGTTTCCTTGAAAAGCTTTCGTTACCCTCCCTTTATGGTATAAACATCAATGTGGTATTAACAAAATCTAATTTGTTTTCTGTTTAAAATTTTAAATTTATAGTTATTTTAAATTATTATGTAATATTAATTATTGTAACTAATATAAATTTTAAGAAGTAGCTTAAAGCAAAATTATTTACAAATAATCAATATTTTATACCAGGTGTGTGTATATATATATAAAATTACCATATTTCCTTGATTAAACCTCAGGGGGAGTTTATTTTAAGATATGGGTTTCTTTCTGAGGCAAAGATTATCTTGCAATAGGAGATGAATGAGTAAAAATTAAAAGAAATTCTTAAATTACTATTAAAGCCATTTATTGACTGTATTTATGGGTTACAACTACAACATTTGAAATAATTACTCTTCTCATTGTTAACTCAATTCAATGTTTTCTGATTCAGTTGTTATATTATTATTCATGTCTTTTTGATGTCATTGTTAGATAAATAGAAAACATCCTGAAGCCCAATACATAGATACTTAACCAAACAATTGTCTTAATTATTCGAGCTATAAATCTGCTATTATGAATGATTAGTTACTAAGTAATTTGGTACTAGAAGTAGACATTAAGCGTCATCTCTTATCTAACTAATCATTAATAATAGTGGTTTTTTTTAGCTTGATTGAGGCAATTGTTTGGTTGAGTGTCATTAGATTCAGAATCTTGACTACCATCTGATTCAAACTCACCATCTCATTTCAATTCACTGCCTGGCTCATTTCTGGTGATGGTTAGATGTTGTCTTCCTATCATACAAGAATGACCATTCTTGAAGCAATGGATCATATTGTTCTCACCTTCTGGATTTGTGGTACAGTAGAGCCTCGAAAACTCGGCACTCGATTACCCGGCACTCCGGATAACTCGGCCACACCCTGGCAGGGCAAAAAAATCCTTAGTTAATTAATTTTCATTATAGACAGCTTTATGCCTCATAAAGTATTTTTCTGAGGTCTGTCTTATCAGGTAAATTACTGTACACAGTGTATTCATTAAATTTCATTTTCATGTAGTAAAGGCTCTATGCCTTCATAAAGGATGTACTTTTCATTTGTTTAAGGGTATTTGGGCAGTTTATTCTCTGTTGTATTCTCAAGCAAACAATACATACAAGTACAGTACAATATTTTCTGAGGAAACACGCATACTTATCCTTTTTTAACCCCATTCCCGATAACCCGGCATTTTCACAAACTCGGCCACCCTTCAGTCCACATTAGGCCGAGTTTTCGAGGCTCTACTGTAATAGTACATGACTTAAATGCTGATATTTAGATCCAACTCCTCCCAGATATCTTTCATCCAAAAAGCAACTGTGGAATGTAGTGTGGTTTGTTTTCTGCCAGTATACTGCTTGTTGGTGTCATTAGTCACTCAAATATCATATTTTCTCAAAGTTTTTCTTTCAATGGATCTTTTGTTTAAGATGCATTGAGTGCTTGTGTGACTGGAGGGTTGGCACCTCTTTAGTGCCTCGTCAGGATTAACACCATCATGTCCTGACTAACACAAAAGCTGAGACAGTGTGTTGATTCGGTATTAGAACATAGGTCACATGAATGGCCATGTGCATGGGCACTCAGATTCGGGATGGAGGAAGTTTGAGAGATAGCATACCGGAAGTGAATCACTTGGATGCCGTGTTAACTAAACAACCGTTTATTTGTAAAGGAAAATACATTGTGTATAATTTATATCATTAACGAGTTATAATAAATTGAACTAGATATTTCCACGGTTCTCAAGAGAGAGAGTTTACAGTGGTTTGTGAGTAGGGAATTCGATCCTGGCTCTTATTTCTAATCCCGGGATTTTGAGATTATATTTAGTCAATCTCAGGATCCTGGGATTATTTCGGTATTGAGGGTTAATAAAAATAAGAAAATCTTACAGAAATCAGCTCTTTAATCAATGTAATTAAAATTTAGACAAAAATCAACGTATTTTACAGTATATACCTAGTTAATATAATCACTCTACTAATCAGAAGGAAGGAGCTTACATCTAGCTATGACTCAGTGAATACATCGTAAGGTATCTTTTGGTGGACCTGTTCGGTATTAGTGGACTGTTTGAACTTTAATTTATTTTGTGTGTGTGTGGAAACCTACATTGTAAACACCTTAAACGTTGTAATTTTGTAACTTTTGTGTATCATCGTAAGTTTGTAAATTTTACTGACATAAAGTTTTTCACGAACAACCTCAGTCTGCTGGCGTAAACGCTACTAAAATCCACTGGCAAAGCAAGATGGCTGACACATTGACAGGTAAAACGCACTGGGCAGAGGCTGATGCAAATACATCAACAACTTGCGCAAAAAATACAATTGGTGTGAAACTGGACCCCAAAATTCTAAAAACAATAAAAGTGATGAACCCAAAGAAAATTTGCCCAATATAAAATATGATAAACCTGCTAAATGGCCTGATCATAGTTGCAAAGAATTTGACAGCTTATTATAAATTTTACTAGAACATGGTCTGCAATGGATTAAAAAGTATAATTTTCCATCAGATAAAATAAAAGAAATTTTTACTTAATTACATTAGAAAATTGCTTAATGGAGAAAAATGTCAGTGTAATTGATTATGATATTCTATGTTGCTCAATAAAGTTTTCTGCTTTTGCTATAAACTTTTTGATGAAAGTAATCATGTAACATCTTTCATTAAGGATGAAATAAATTATTGGAAAAATATTCATTCCATTTTGGCATCATATGAAAGAAATTATTCATTTTGAATAAGAAAAATAGAAAAATAACTACGTTAACTGGAGGGAATTAGCAATTAGTTACAAAAAATAAAACTGGTCAACAAAATTACAGCTCATTAAAGAGGATCATTGATGCAATGTATTAATCAGATATCCTTAGTAACAGTTCTTTCTAATCAAATTTTGCCTTATAGAGGCAGTCATGACAAACTGTTTGTCCACAATAATGGAAATTTTTTAAAATTTATCAAATTTTTAAGTAAATTTGACACTGTTTTGGTAAAACATTGACAAAAAATTAAAGATGGAGACTTGTGACCATTATCTAGGAAAAAGAATTCAGAATGAATTAATTGAACTTCTAGCTAATCTGTTGTTACAAAAACATTATCTTTAGTGAGAGACTCAAAATACTTTTTGTTAATTATTGACTGTACTCCTGACAAAGTTCACAGGAATATTTTTGGAAATAAAATTACAATGTTAAGACCACCATCACTCTATTTGGACATACCAAACACATTCAAGTGTGAGAATCCAATATATCGTCGATATTGACATACTTATTCAATAATTGTTGTTGAATCTACTACCTGAGAAAATCTCCACTTACACTTTCACAATAGTGAAAACAACGCATTCCCATGATCTGCTGACCTCTTAGCCAGGCAATATTGGGCTGATATTGAAATTAACGGCCAAAGAGTCAGTTGTCGCCCATTCCTCTTGGACTAAAGTCTTCAAAAAAATTTTCTGTGCCTATGCAAAATTTTACTCAATCAGATTTCACCCTCGACCAATAGTACCAGTGAGGACAAACCTTCCTGATGATCTTGACCAGACTTTCCTGATCCAGAACTTTCTTAATCCTTTGAGAACAATAATGGACTCCATAGTCTCAACAAAATCTATCATCACTTTGTGGACATCCTCTACTCCAAGTATTTATTGACTCACAAATAGAGGATTTGATCCCGGGATCCCAACCACTTTTCAGTCCCGAAATTTTCAGGATTAAGTTTTCCTGATCCCGAGATTTTCGAGATTGACATCATTTTAAAAAAGTTGCAAAATAGACTGCATGAAGTGACACGCTCAGTGCCAGTGCTCTTAACAGAATTGCTTATCTATCATTTTAATATAAAATACAAGAAGTTTTATTCCAAACAAGCAGTACAAATTAATTAACCTAGTGGGCTTGTGATATTGGCTTGGAATGAAACTTCTTGTATTTTGAACTAAAATGATAGGCAAGCAGTTCTCACTGGGTTACCTGGTAATATACTTCATTTTTGTATTTTCTTGGGCTCCAATCAATTTTCTGGCACAGTCGAGAGCACTGTGTTTTATTTTTATTTACTTCTGAAATCTGTTAATTTAAAAATTTTAGGTTCCTGCTCTTTTTTAAATATTCAGTTTTTAAAAGTTTTCTTTTTCTATTGTTGTGCTCCTGATAATTTTTTTCTTTTCTCTGACATCTCAATATATCAAGGAGTCTAAAAATGAAAATTAAAAATTAAGCATTTAACCTCAAAAATAACATTAAAATTATTGAATTTTAATAAACAATACTTAATTGGTATTTTAGTTTTTTAATCAAAACTACATTAATATAATTAATCTTTATAGACTGATATAATAAAATCAAAAATACAATTGCATTTCTTTTCTTGCTCAAAATCTAATAAATATGAAATATATTTAAAAAAAAAAATATNTAATCATTAAAATCAAAAAAGAATCTCATTCAAAAGTTTATAGTTTTTAACTTTATATTAATAATTTAGAAAAACTAGAAGATTATAACCATTAATAATATAAAAGTCGTCATTGTCATGTGAATTCCTTATAACTCCTGCAATTTTTGTCCAATACAGATGAAATTTTGGTTATATCCATTTTTATTCTGACAGAAAGTATATGCTTCTTATTTTGTGGAAATCTTAGCTATAGAATAAACGTTTTATTGATTTCAGATCGGTGATCACACTTATGTTGCAGTGACATCAGTGACCTCATTTAGTTCATGCTTGATGATGGAATTTCCTTTAAGTTACATTTTTAAATATTTTGGCAAATGGTATATTTTAAACTTCCTTCATTAAATTTAAACTTTAAAAATAGATAGCTGCATTGTGTCACTTCTTTAAAAAATCTTTCCGTAGTGACCATGTGAAGTTCTAAAGTAATGATCTAATGAGCCCCTTATTTAGAAAGTGTTATCGCTCATCTAACTAACATAGGCCACATACAATTCATCTTTGTTTTATCAATGTGGAATAAAAAGATTCACTATTTTGTCAAAAAATGCCCAGGAGAAAGTATGAGTAAAATTGGTCAGGTAAATTCTAGATTTAAAAGAATAAGAATAACCAAGACCTCTGAAGGCCAAGAAGTCTGACTTGAGCAATATAGAGTAAGAATGGCTTTGTCAAGGGCTGCAGAAACAGCAACACAAGGTCAATCATCAAAACAATATTAAGGTGTTTATTACTAAAGGAAGACAGCAAGGAAATATTTTAAGAGACAATAGAGTGTTTACTCAGAATGTAGTGAATAAAGAAATTTCATAAAAAAAGATTTTAATATAAAGGCCTAAATCTGTTTGTGTGTGTAAGGGAATTCTCTATAACTCCTACTATTTTTGTTCACTCCAGGTGAAATTTTTTTTCTCTTTATGTTACAACAGATAGTATAAACTTGTAGAAACATTAGGAACTCTTCTTGAATTTCTTGAAATCTCTACTCTTCTCAATTCTTCAATCTCTACTTTCTCATAAAAAGTATTCTGCCATGCTTGACAGGGAATTTCTAATGTAATAATAATGTGCAAATTCCTCTTTCCTTCATATTATGCATTTTGTTTTAACTGTAATCTACATAACACATTTCATTACCTTGCTATTTTTATAAAGAGTGTTCAAAGAAAATGTTCATCTAGTCGGCTTTGTTGAAGAGAGGAAGAAAAGAGAAAGAGTTTTTAAATGTAAATGTTTTGCTCTACCTTGGGTCAGCAACCTATGGCACACAGGATGATTTTCAGTGGCACTCTTAATAGAAATATAATAAAAATCAAATTTTAATTATTACGTACAGTCGATCCCCCCATAACATGGTAGATACGTTCTGTTCTTTACGAATCCATTTTGTACGAGTCCTTGCCAATCACAGCCCGACACGTGTAAAGTTTACGGACTATGGTTGTTTGAAAGGTTTTCTTCCATATAATTAATCGATTCCTAGACTAATTTGACTCAACATTTCCAAAACACGTATATTTTTTTGGGAATAATCCGTATAAACTGTTATAAACAAAAAATTGTAGGATTACTTACCGAGTGTGCACAGTTTGACATCGCCATTGCTTAAGCTTGTTTTCGTCGCGGAGCAGCACACCAAACGGCGGCGTGCGGTTTCTGATAAGTCATTTTTCTGCGAAAACTTCGTTGAACTTCGGAGACATCATTAATATAAATAATTTTTATGGCCGTTGAATAAGAAATGTTTCTTTCACAAGAAATATATAAAATTAGTGCTGTATTAGACTTACGGTGCCTAATTTACATACTGTACAGACGATAGTAAACTCAACTTACTTGCCTAAACTCTCCGTAGCGTGGCGCTGGACGGCGGAAAGTAGTTTGGCTGCCCGATGATGTTTTACCAAATTATAGGAGTTTTTTTACCATGTTTGTACGGATACCGTTGCAATTTTTTTGCCGTCATATAGGAACCCATGTTATAGGGGGGTTAACTGTATACTTTTCAATAAAAGCCATCGTTTAGTATAGGCTATGGTACATTAAAAACAAATTTCTTGCTTTTATATTTATATTATAGCGCATGCATTTACACTCCATGTCACCCTCTACATGTTGTATGTGTGCTTCACATGTAAGAACATAATTCAATTAACAACTTAACTTCAAAATTATATATTTTGAAATCTATTATAACCAGACAAATTTTGATAATATATATATAACAAAAGCATGTTGGCACCTGGAATAACGCTATAACATAGGTTTGGTACAACACCATTTGGAAGGTTGCCACTCCCTCTCTACCTCTTTTGAACATTAAATAAAAGCCAACTAGATAAGTTTTTATTTGAACACTTCTAATAATAATAATAAATAAAATACCAAAACTACTTTTATTTTATAAAGAATTGATTTAGGATTGTAAGTTTTCACTATATACCATATAGATGCAAAACAATAATACAAGTCATGCTTTCGTTCTTGTTTTTTTGATGTTATAATGTGAAGTTAGGAAGTTTGAGACTGATACAATTTCATCAACTAATCTTTTCTCTTTTCCACTAAAAAATGCCTCTCCTTTTAGTACTAGATTCCTCGTGTGTTGAATAATCTGCATAACCTACATGTGACAGCTCTGAATGTATACATAATATAACTAATTAAAATAATTGATAAAATCTTCTGAAAATTTCACTTGTCATAAATCACAATACTACTACTCAAACCTTTAAAAATGCAATATAATTCAATATAAAGCTTTTGTTCTTATTTTTAAGTTTAAATTTGTTTCTTTCTGTCTTAAAGAAGATTATTTAAGATAGCTGAAAATGTTTTGAAATTAAAATTATACTGCATTTAATAGTAGTACTGTGATTATTGATAAATATACCTTTTAATTGATACTGGCTGCAGTGTCCCTAAATTTTTGCACCCTGGGTGTTTGCCTATGTAGTGTGTATAGCTCAAGCCAGCCCTGGACACCACAACAATGCTTTAGCTTTTTTTGCCACTCAACATCAGATCCAAGTGCATTTGTATGAGACCCAACTTATATACATTTGACCAGAAAACTTCCATCTATCAAACACATTGAGATATTGGCAATATGCAAAACTTACAATAAAAATGTGGCTAATAATTACAAGGACAGTAATACTTTCTGTCAAGCCTGGAGATTTTTATTTAAGGTCCTTTTTTAATTTCCTACATCACTATCTTAACACCCAATCAGAAGGCATCTTTTCATCATCTAAAATCAGCATTCAAATTTTTGTTCCATTTTTTTAACACTGTTTTCTTAATCTGAAAATAATAGCTCAAATCTATTGAGAACGTTTGTTTATTCATATTTATGCATTAAATTGTTTCACATATTTTACTGGAGTTTGGTTTTATTAGTGTTTTTTTTTCATATTTAATTAACTACTATGTAATTTTATATTAAAAGGAATTTTAATTTACTATTTAAGATAGAAATTTATGGAAAATTAAAAACAATTCTTGTTTTTACTTTTGGATATTCATAATACAAAAAAAAGATACAGTAATACCTCGACTTACGTGAACCCAGAGTTATGCGAATTTCAAATCTCGTCAATTCGTCTTTTGTTTGAGCACCATGCAACTCTTGATTACTCACTCCCCCCACACTATTGTTCGGCTTACATGTTCGAATGTGTCGCGCGGAATCGACACATAGCTACAATTTATTTTGTGTTATTTATTTTTGTGTTTATTATATATACGGAGACTTGAGAGACTCTATGTGGTGATTTATTGTAACTGTGAACGAATTGAAAGACTAGATAAGATTAATGAGAACATTTATTAGCTTACATACATCTGATTTGGATTTTACACAAATTGCGAAATTATACCCCGACTTATGCGAATTTGACTTACGTGGTTATTGCTCGGTCCCACCTATCGCGTAAGTTCACGTAAGTACTGTACTATTGTACAGTAATACCTTTACATACAGAAAATATAATACAGAAAAGAAAAACCTTTTTTTGTACTATTTTTAGAAATTGTTGACATATTATATTAATGAATCCAAATTTATATTTCTAAATTTGTGTGTTACAAATAAGTAAATAAAATAATAACATACATTGCTTGTCAGGAGAATTCTTGTCTATCTCTGGATATGCTTTTCATAGATTTGCTATTAGGAATCTACAGTGTAATTCTATACTTTCATTACTTTTAGAATTTTTTTATTATTATTTCATTATAATTACATTTAATGAATTCAATATTATTATACTATCTATATAGTTATTATGAAATAATGAAATTTTAGTAGTAATATTTAAATATCTTAATATTTTTATTAACTTATAAACTTTGCATATACATTTATAAAATTCTGATTTTTTTTTTTATAATTCTTTAAATTTTATGCAGGTGAAGTTGGATAAAAATGGCAGATGGCATGAAGTTTCACAGGTAGAACAGTGTGCCATTATTGGGCTCTTATTTACTGTTTGGTATGCTTTATTTCTTGGTGATGAGGCTGCATGAACTTTCTCTTATTTATTTATTTTGGCTTTTTATCTGTTTTAAGATATTTGTTTTATTCTTATGCTTCATTATTATTTAAAATTTATTTTACTTTTGTATTAATATGTGAATTTAGATTTTTAATTATGATATTAAATGCAGAGAAATAAATTCAAACATTGAATTTAAAATTACTGGTTTCAAATTTAATATACTGTTACAAGCTAATGCTACCTTCTTATGTAAATGCTCTAATATGCTCTTGCTGGACACAGTGTATAACAAAATTTTTAAAATAAAAATTCAAAAAGCAAATTTAATGTTCATAAAATTCTTAAAAGTTAACTACCATATTGTTTTATGCTTTTTATTCTTCCAAATTCATTTATATTAATAAACTATTCTGTAATTACCAACACTTGAAAATTCCAGGTTTAGGCTTCTAGGTGCCTTGGCCCAGTAAGCTTTGGTGCTCCTTTATCCCAGGTTTCATGTACAGTACATTGAAATTTACAAAATACAGGAGCTCCCCTAGTTACAAATGTTTAACTTACAAGCTTTCAGACTTAGACAATTTGACTATGCACCTAAAACTTAAATTTCATGCAGATTCATCTCTTTCTGGTCTTGAGTAGTGTTAAAGTCAGTCTTTAACCAGTAATAAATAAAAAATTTTTTATAAATAATTGTAATAAATAATTTTTTCTATCATGTTCGTCATCTTAATTTTTGGGCAAATTATTTATTTATTAGTGTTATTTGGTTAATACTAATATAATACTAATTTCAATATAATATAATATAATAATACTAATTTTTTGGGCAAATTATTTATTTATTAGTGTTATTTGGTTAATACAAAGTTTAATCTGCTGCAGACTAAATTTTTCTTTAAAAAATTATCAAATAAATTCACATTAAATTGTATTTTTCCATATAATTCTTCATAAATCCATTTAATTTTTTTAATCTTTCATTTACCAGCTTCAATGCTCATGAAATGGCATTGAAGTTGGTAAAGTTGGAGTAATGGTGCTATTATTTGCAATTTTTATAAACTTTTACAATTAGTGCTTCAAAAATGCTTCCAAAACATAATAGTAAATATAAAAGTGGAGATAAATGCAAAAAGTGTGGCTTTATTACCATGGAAACTAAACTTGACATTATAAAACTAAGTGCATTAAGTGGAAAAAGCAACCAACTGTGAAACATCTGTTGCTAAGCAGTAGTCAGCAGGTAAATGAGCATAATGTATTCTATTCAGTGGCGTGCCATGACATTTGATGATAGGGAAGCTGTGTTTCTATAAGAAGCCGACTTCCAGGGGCAATCAGTCAGCAATGGTCTAGGGTCCATTCGTATTCGTTTGTTCGATAAGCCAGTAAAAACCGTAGACTTCTCTAAATGTATTTTTAATTAATAGATTATCTAACGCACTTAATAAATAAGCAAGTTCAATATAATTAACTCTCTTATATTAGATTTAATAGATTCTATACGCCCTCTAAATGCCAATTCTCGCTTCGATAACATCTACTAATTAAAATATATCTATTAGCCGTAACTATCTTGTTATAATTTTCAATATATATTTTATATTGTGTACTAATGTTAAATTCTATTCTATTTTGATTTCCAAATTGCTTCAATTTTACGAAAGAATCGATGCGAGATTTAGGATTTTCGTGTCTTTTGCCAGCTTTACTCAAATTATTTAAATCGTCAAAGCCAATCTCATTCTACACACTAATTTTATTTGAAAATAGTAGGCAAGGCCAACAAAACAAATTTTGCATTTTTATGCATCCACAAAGCCATTTTATATCTTCATAAATTTTATCATGAAAATGTCGAACAAATTTTTTCTTTTTCATTATATGGTCTCGAGCCAAAACTTTTTGAAATAAATTTTCGATATCACAATTACATTCTAAATTGCTAGCTATAATATAAGGGCTAAAATTAAAAATAAAATTATAAAAACTTACTTGTTAAAATAAAATGTGTGATGATATACAATTATACATACCTGGTACAAAATATTCAATTGTATGAATATACTTTTAAAGAAAATTATAAATATAGTTTTGTGAAGAAACGTACATAAAAATAACATAAAATAGTCTTTACTTTTTAAATATTAAAACAATCCACCTAGTTAAAATTGCTCCCTACCAGTGGCTCGTGGATGGAATCAGAGACGGTCTTGGTAGGTGTGCGGTGCGGTGCATGCTTGCCAAATCCCGAGGGTGCCGATACCGGTTAATGTCTCTTTTGTCTCATCACTAGTATATCTCAAAGGACGCGACAGGGTTGTTGTAAATTTTAAACGTTTCTCATCATAGCTGTAAAAATCTAAATTTGTTAAACTTAAAAGTCATTTGTTTTCTAACTACTGTAATTCGTTTTAAGACCAGGTGTCCACGGAAATTTCCAAAATTTACAACTTTTACTCACTTTCATTGAACTGGAAAAATTTCTGTCTTTATTACATCTAATATTACGAAGAAATCAGTCCCACTGTACTCGGCTAGATATTGGTCCGGTTAGGCTTTTGTTTAAGTAAAATTCCGGCTCTTTCATCAGGGTTTTGTTTACGTCCCCAATTCCCTAATCGCTTAATTATTTAACTACTTCTTAAGTAGAAATAAGTCGAAACCAGTTACTTTGTACTCGAATATTTGTAGTCTCGGGAAAAAAGTGGAAAGACAAATTTTTACGACAACGGATACATAAATCGTAAATTTAAGGAAAATAAATTCTAGAGCCTTTTCTGTACCTGGTGCATCTCTCTCATTCATTAAATTTAGTTGTAAATGACGCTGTCGAAGTAACGGTTAATTTTTTAACATTATACAAGAATTGTACACGTTTTTTTCTACATCCCCTTAAAGATGGGATGTACGAAATCGTAATATCACTGGTTTAACATCGAAATCCGTGAGTAATATAAAATCGGAGAGCGGAATAAATATATCAAATATTTTAATTGATTTTTTAACTCCTGTCAACTATACGGAATTATCGTAAAAACATACCAATAAATTCTTATCGGTTGGGTTAAGTTATAAATCTACTCGTTATTCACGTAATCGAAATATCTAGTGGGCAGGCGGCTAACAGCCCAGAACCGGTCCTTGATAGAATTGGAGTCTTTATATGTGTGCAGCTTTCACCCAAGGTTGTAGGCTTCCACCGGCTAAACCAGGTGAGGTTGGTGCTCTGTAAAGCACATGTGCAAATCTGGCTTTTCTTAATCTGAAAATACAGGAGATTCTACTCCGCCACTAATATTCTAATATACAATAGCATTTTTTTTTCATGTGTAGTATAGAAATTTGTAATAAGATACATAATGCGGTTATAATAAAATATTGTGCGATTATTTTCATAAAATTAAAATTAATATTTATTTATTTTTTAGAGAATACGAGGGAAGCGGCGCTTCCAACGCTTCTAATGACGGCACGCCACTGATTCTATTAAGTACATTGAAGGATTAAACACTAACAATATATGATTATTCTGTGTACAAATGTAATTTTTAGGTTAGTTTTTGACTTACAAACATTTAAACTTACAACAAAACCTCTGGAATATAACCTGTTTCTAAGTAGGAGAGCACCTGTATTCACATTGCTGTATATCCATATTATATTTATAGCTTGAATTATTTTGTCAATGTATTTGAAATGTTATTTAGTTATTAATTTATTATAAATGTACATAAAAATGAGGCATTAATTATAAAATTTTACATTCTCAAAATTTGTCACCCTGGGCCAGAGCCAAAAGGCCCATTTGTAAATCTGAAACTAACTCTTGATTAATCTAATCACCAAGAAATCCTTAATATTAACTATTGTTAGCTCTATGTTTTTTTATATAATGTTTTTTTTTTTTCTGCACATTTTATATTTTATGGACATCATCAACTGGTCAATGGTTATCTGGGCAACAAAATAAGATATCAATAATAGACAAAATACAAATTTTTTATTGTTTATTAAAATCACCATTTTTGTTTTGAACTACTACATGGTAAATAATATGTTTTAAGAAATGAGTTAGAGTTAAAAGAACAATTTTGTAATTAACAAACATATTTATACATTACATACTTTCTTTCTTTACATAAGTAAATAGAAAAATCCCAAAGGACAGTTGATATCAACCCCCAAAATTAACAAATATATGTAAAAAAAAAGACAATAATTACATAAAATTAAAAATACATTAAATATGATATACATTAAAACAAAACAGTATAAAAGTTTTTCAAAATACAGTGGGTGATTGGTTAACGAACAAATCGGATAACGAACACTTTTGCAAAAGACTTTTATGTTCAGACAATGAACACCTCACAGAACAAACAATAAGAAGCGACATAAAATAATGAATACCGCTTGGTCTTCCCTTGTCTTCAGACAACAATTCGAAACTTTTTGGAGTGCAGGAGACGTCAACATCGACGCTCAACCCAGTATATACTGATCAGATAGTATTCCTCCAAACTTTGAAACTCTCCCTTGTAATTTCAGCCTTTTATTTTTCTGACAGACACAAGTCTTTTATAGTATTCGCGAGACTGTTGGGCGGGCACTCATTAAGTTTTGTGTCGGTTTTTATTTTCGAAAGGTGAGAGTATAATAGCAAAGGTAGAGAATGGGCAAATATCTGTTGTCTGTTGTTGCTTGGCAGTATGGCTTGAACAGGTCTACAGTAGGCCGCAGTTCAATCTTATCTAAGAAAGATACTGTATTATTAAGAAGACTCAAGCAGCTTAAGATGTAACAAAAATCATATCTGAGAAATAAAGAACATTTTAGAGCTCATAATAGGATGGAATGGAACTGACGACAGAAAAACGCCAAGAACTCATGAATGAAGAACACCAAGATATGTTTTCGGCGAGATATGTTTTCTTCTGAAAAAGAGAATTAATGTTTATATCTGCTATTAAACAATTTTTTGAAGAAGTGGGACGATGTCAGAACAACGGTCTTAGAATGGCATCTAAACCAGGTTGAGGTTAATAGGCTTAGGGATCTCTACAAGTACAATGCTATTAATTACTTCTGAAAAATCTTAAAGAAGAGAGAAAAGCAATCGACATTAGACAGACTTTTTAACCCCCGCAAACAGAAAAAACATGATTAATAAAAATGCAAGACTGTGTATATATGTATTTTTATTATTACATATAAATAAACATAGTAAGAAAGTATATATTTTTTTAATTTTTGGGGGTCTCCAGAATGAATTAATCAAATTCCCATAAAAACCAATGGTAAATCGATAATCGGTTAAAGAACAATTCGGATAGTGAACAAAGTCTTGGAATGGATTATGTTTGTTAACTGATCACCCACTGTAATTAGTTTTTGAAGAACTTTTCTTTGATGTGTTTTGTTAACTGCCTCTGACATACAATAATTAATGATGTTACAGTACTTGTTCCAAAACATTTCCTAAGTTGGAAATAACTCTTAATTCATATTTCATAAGTCTTAATCATATTTATATTTATATATGCAATATACAGTAGATCCCCCTATAAGACGGTAGATACGTTCCGTTCTTTATGAATCAATTTTGTAGGAATCATAGTTTACGGACTACGGCTGTTTGAAAGGTTTTCTTTCATAAAATTAATCGATTCTAGAGTAATTCGACTCAACATTTCCAAAATACGTATATTTTTTTGAAAATAATCCGTATAAACTACGTTATAAACAAAAAATTGTAGGATTGCTTACCGAGTGTGTACCGTTCGACTACGCCCGTTGCTAAAGCTTGGTTTCGTCGCGGAACAGCGCATCAAATTGCGGCCGCGATTTCTGATATTATTTTTCTGCGAAAACTTCGTTGACCTTTGGAGACATCATTAATATAAATAATTTTTATGGCCGTTAAATAAGAAATGTTTCTTTCACAAGAAATGTATAAAATTACAGTACTAAACAGACGATAGGTCGCCTAACTCGCCGTAGCGTGACGCTAGACGGCGAAAAATATATATTTAATTATAATAAAGTTACAATAAATTAAGTTAATATATAATTATATATACAGTACCTAATTTATATATAATTAATATATAATTATATGTACAGTACCTAATTTATATATAATTAATATATAATTATATGTACAGTACCTAATTTATATATAATTTATATAATACTGTCCAGACGATAGAAATCTCTCCGTAGCGTGGCGCTACGGACGGCGGGTAAGTAGTTCGGCTGCCCGATGACGTTTTACGTATTATAGGAGTTATTTTTACCGTTGTTTACGGATAATGCCACAATTTTTATAGGAATCATAACTATAGGAAACGGTTTTATAGGGGGATCTACTGTATTTTACTATTATTTACAAAAAGGAAAAAATTCACCAAACTATGCTTGCTAAGGGTGCAAAAGTTTAAAATTTCTGTCACTCAAATGACAGTCACCCAATTAACCATTGCCCATTGCCCAGCTGTCAAAGTTTATAAGAAAATTTTAGAAGTGAGAGGAACCTATTTTAGAAGAAAATAGCCCACTCACTCTCACTTCTAACATTTTTTCCCCCCTCTCCACTTCAAATTAATTTTTATAAGATCTTTTCTATTAATAATGTTACACATTTTCTCTTGAAATCCCTTCTATGTTTTTTAACTTGATACCAAAGATTTTTTTGTTTTACTTAAATAATGCTTTCTTTTTCTTCATTTTCTTATATTGGCATCATATAAACTCTTGCTATATCTTCCATTGGCTCATTTTCTTTCACTTCCAAATAAGGTAGTATTTCTTTTGTAAACAATTCAGTAGCCCCTCGTTATATCGCAGATTCAGATATATAGTTTTTTTGAGTTTTTTTTTACTTTGTCCCCCAAATTTTAAAAGCACTTGAGTCAATAAATTTATTTTAAATTATCAATTGCCACTGAATTCCTTTTTGCAATGAAAAACAGTATTTTATTCCTATCATTGTCCATGAAACTACTACTGCAGGTGAAACAATAAATTTGTCAAGATGTAAGTAAGCAAAACAGGTGGACAGATCAATTATCATTTATGTTTTTTTTTTTTTTTTAATATTAAAAGTTGTTTATTTATTGGTTTTAATTACTGTCTTCTCATTTACAAGTTTCTGTGAAATTTCAAATTCACCACTTAATGTGTAAGGAAGAAATTTCTTTGTTTCTAAACGGAAAGTTCTAACATTTTGATACAGTATTTTACTTATTCGAGAATTTTTAATCTGTAATTTTATAAGATTTGATGTTCTATTATATGTTCAATATTTATTTTTTAAATTTTCAATTATTGTATATAATTTTTATTGAAAAATATAAATTACATAAATTTTTAATAAATGATTTATTAGGAAATATAGTACTGTAAAATAAAAATTTCAACTGATATTTTGTTTTTGTATTGACAGTATTTGTCTTTAAATGTCATTGTTAAAGAAACATTAATGCTAAGTGGGCATTTGTGATATCAATGTTTATATAAACGTTAATTAATATAATGTAACCACAAGTAAAATTTGATATTGAAAAACTAAGCTTATTTTATATCAAAAAGACTTGCTGATGAAAGAATAGAGGATAGAGATTTCATTACATATATAATCTGTTTAGTAAATGCCCAGATTTTCTAATACTCAATTATATCAGGCTTTTTCTTTCTCTCTCAACAAGTGCAATATAATGAGGGACTACTGTATTTTCTTTATCTTTTGAAATCCAGTAATATTTTAATTCAGCATTTTTTAAATTATTTTTTATAATTTATATTCCTAACTATGGGGTGAAAGTACTTGAATATATAGTTTAAAATCTAAAATTAATTTATTTAAAAAAATTAAATACAGATTAAATAAAAAATAAAATAAAAAATAATATAGAATTTAAAATGATATGAACATTTATTATGTGATTATTATTCCAATGATATATTTATTTTTTGATTTTTATTTTATATAAATTTATATTGATGACTCATGAAGTTATTATAATCTTCATTCTAATTATGGTAGTCAAAAAATATTTGATTAAATAATGTACATTTACTTTATATTACCATATCTGTGTAAATTTAATGAAAAATGGACAAATGCAGATCAATTTATTTTACTTGCAGACTTCTGGTTTTTTTTTTTTACAATTCCTTTAATTTTTAATTTGAACTAAATATTTGATGATAATTTTTTTATTTGTTTCATCTTTTGTTGTTATAGCAAAAAAAAAATTCTTTTAATTGTAAAATATTTAAGATACTTGTGAATATAATACAATTTTATTAGTTAGTTTAATATACTAAAATTTTTTATTGACTTGAAAATTACACCTTTTTTTTTTTTTTTTATGCCAGAAGACTATAATGTTTAACAATTTAGCCCATGCAACTGTGCCAGCTTCAAGTAGTCCACTTGACTGTTTGTGGAGTACTTGATGTTATATAGTTTTAGGGATTATGGGGCATGCCCCCACCCCTAAGACTATATGAGGTGCAAGCGATAGCCAGCACCCAGGCACACGTCTACATGCGAAGCTATCCTATCAATAGAATAGGAGGCAGACTGTACACCATTAGAAACTGACCTTTGGAGATGAATATCTCACGAAGGGTCAACAATTTTAGGGGTGGTGTGTGAAACCCCTCATTCAGAGCTTGAATATTACCTGTTACTGTGCATATTGGCTGGCATCCTTTAACCGAAAAGTATGAATTACACTATTAACTACAAAATGCTGAGGTTTTTACAAATGTATATAATACAGTATATTTATTTATTTTTATTATAAATAATTTTTAAATTATTAATGCTTAATTTTTCTATATAACTTAAAAATGTAAATGATTATTTTCAGCAAGATAGTCCTGGTGGTCAAAGTGGTGATTCCACACCTTCTAGCCCTCAATCAAAACAAGAAGGTTCCTCTACTATGGCAAGTACTTCATCTTCTGCAAGTGAAAGAGATGATGGTAAATTTTTAATATATTTTATTCAGATAATAAATTACAAATAAATAATTTGAAATAATGGATAACTTTTATTCCTAAAACTTTTTTTATTTAATACTTTTTTCTGTATTTCATAATCTTGCTAAGAAGATAAAACAATTAATTAAAATTTTAATTAAAAGCAATAATATTTTAATTTTTTAAGAATATTAAAGTTAGCTATTATTTTGGCATTTTAATGTAATTAATATTGTATTTTAATAAAATATGGAATCAAATAACATTATGAATTATAAGGAAACTATGATTAGAAGTGTTATATTATTGATCCTTATTTTAAATAAACTTTATGCTAATACAGTATATTATTTTTTTCTGCATTATAATTTTGCTACATTACAATTACATCAAGGAAATTTTATAATTATTTTAATAAATTTTATAATTGCTTTATATATGATGATTTATTTGGTTTTCTGTATTAGTTAATTTTCTTACTTTTATATTAGTAATTTTCTGTGTTTATAGTATTAATTATTTTATCCATATTTCTTAAAAAAAAAAAAATTAAATGTAAATTTGTTTTATAGATAAGTTACAAGCATGATTAATTTAGTTACAATTATATAGAGTAATATTTTCTGCATTTTTACAACTCAGATGTCTTCAAGTCACTCTGACTTAAATTTAGGAGAATTCACAATTCAGAATTATCTAACTTACTTTTGAAAATATTCTGTTATCATGGCAACCAGATTGTATCATACTAAACTTCATACAAACAAAATAGTAAAACATTCAATAAGATTGCAGGGCCCAGATTCACAACAGCATTGTTAATTACAGCATCATATTCTTTTGACATTGTTAAATTTGACAAATTTAAATTGAAATTGCATTTCACAAAGCTTGTTGTAACTTGATTCACTAATTATGTCCAAATACCAGGTCCAAATATCTGGTATATTTTTTCATTATTTTGTTTGTGATTAAGTGAAGTGAAAGAAGTCAAGGAATTAAAATACAGACACTTGTAATTCTTATTTAGAAAATGGATGAAAATAAATAAAAAAACAAATAAAATTTTATTTTATTGAAAATACAGATTATAATAGAGGATGTTGAAGAAAATAAAATTAAAATAATAAAAATTTATGCATTTAGTACAACTTGTCTTTATTAATTAATAATAATCATTTCATTCAAGTTTTTATAATTGATATATATCAGAAAACAGAAATTTAATATACTTCAATTCCATTTTTCAGAGTACTTTATAAATTTTCAATGAATTCTAATAATGTCCAAGATATGAAATGAACTCAGTCTGTGCTATTTTTCAAAAGAGTTCTTAAGTTCAATTAAAAATAAATTTTCTCAATATTTAATAATAATGAGTTAACTGCATCATTATAATAATTTCAATTTGCTAGACAAAACAAATGATAAATTTTTGGAGAACTATACACTTTATCAATTATTTTAATTAATTAAGAGAGAAAAATAAAATAAGACGAAACACTTAAAACAAGATAATCAACCATTTATGTTCAGCAAAAACAAAAAAATTAGAGAACAAATATTCTTAAAAACTTTCAGCAGTTATAGTCAAGTTAGAACAAAATAGAAAGATGATAATTATTTAGTATAGAATGAAAATTAGTTTTTTTATATTCTAAGTTATTTGAAATTTGTTTTGGAAAATATTGGATGGATTTATGAAGAATTATAAGAAAAAATATAACTTAATTTGAAAACTTGATTTTATTTGATAATTTTTTAAAGAAAAATTTAATCTGCAGCAGATTAAACTTTTTATTAACCAAATAACACTAATAAATAGATAATATGATCAATTCAATTTAAACATCAAACATTTAAATTAAAATGTAAATAATTGATAATGAAATATGTTAAAAGTGTGTTATCAATGTAAAAGTTAAAATCTTAAATAAAAAAACAAATGGATGAATAATGCTTATTAATATTCAGTTTTGTTATTTTATATTGAATATTACATTCAATAGATCTCTGGAATTTTGCTTTTGTTTTTAAAGTTAATAGATATAATTTTAAACATCAGATTCATAACGTTACATATATAGGAAGATTGCTAATACTACTTTTAGCATATTCTGAAAATAATACTAACATCTCTTTGGCATTATTTCCAGAAATACAGTATAAACAAGATTTCAGCACCTCTAGTAAGTAAAATTTCTGATAGAACATTTTGAAGAATAATCATTAAAATTTAAAACATATTTCATCAGTTTTTCATCCAATGATTATACTGTATAAATTATATAAATTACTTACTTGCATATCAAGAGTTGTTTGCAACTTTTTCATTGTTTCTTTATAAAGAATGCAGTATCTAAATATATGTATAAATTTAGGGCAGTTGAATGATAAAAAATTTAATTGTTATCAGCCTTATGATTAAGAAGAATTATATTAATTGTGTTATCTTTAATCACAAACTTCAAGTTACAACCTGATATATAATAAAACAAATATTAAAAACTATTAACAAATTGCAATGCATTGTATAAATACTAAAATGAAACAGGTTTTACATAAAATAAATAGTAAAGAAATTAAATTTTAGTAGAACTTTAGCTATATAATATTTAAAGAATATCTTTTCTTTTCCTCTGTTTAGCTTAACTTATTTGTCTCAATTACTAATTAAATTGAAAACATTGGGCAAACTGTCCTTAAATTCAGTGAAATACAGCATTACAGTATAAACTTGTCAAAATAATAATTACTACTATTCAATATTTACAGATACTGAGGATGGCCTTAAATAAGATCGAAAACATTTTATGAATAAAAAACAGTAAACTGTTCCTGATATAGTAGTTATTATTTCGACAAATTTGTTGAAAAAGTAAATTTTTTTACTAAGCATAAGTCTGATAAACAAAAAAGTGTATTACTTAGTACAATAATTATTATTGACACCAGAGGTAGATGGATTTAACATTTTGCCACTTCTAGACTATATCTTTTCTTTCTTTCTTTCTTTTTTCTTTAAAAACTAGGCAATATATCTTTCTTGTTCTTCTGTTAGGTAAAAATACATCTTAATAATAATAATAATAATAATAATACAGTAGAGCCTCAAAAACTCGGCCTAATGTGGACCGAAGAGTGGCCGAGTTTGTGAAAATGCCGGGTTATAGGGAATGGCATTAAAAAAATAAGTACGAGTGTGGAGTCCTCAGAAAATACTGTACTATACTTGCATGTATTGTTTGCTTGAGAATACAACAAAGAATAAACTGCCAAAATGTCCTTAAACAAAGGAAAAGTACGTACTTTATGAAGGCAGAGCCATTACTACATGAAAATGAAAATTAATGAATACACAGTGTACAGTAATTTACCTGATAAGACAGACCCCAGAAAAATACTTTGAGGCATAAAGCTGTCTATAATGAAAATTAATTAACTAAGGATTTTTTTGCCCTGCCAGGGTGTGGCTGAGTTATCCGGAGTGCCGGGTTGTCAAGTTTTCGAGGCTCTACTGTAATTGTTTAACCAAAATTTCATTTATTGTATTTACACACAAAAAATACCATAATAAATTAAAGAAAAATTATTTATTAAATATCACAATGGTCCTTTTGGAACATTTTTTTCAGATTTAATCAATAAAGCATGGACAATTTTTTTCTGCCTTGCTGATTATTACATCTATAAAAAGAAATTCAAAAATAGTAATTAATAATTTGCTTATTGAAATGTAAATTTAACTAGAAAAGTTTTGAAACATGATGCTTCATATTCATTTTAGCTAAAAGTTTAATGGTGATATATATAAAAAAAAAACATTGATTTTGATATATCAGATTCAATTACTAAAAGTACCAAGTCATTTAAACTATTTTCCAGTATTATCAATCCTAAATTCTTATTTATTGTGGGAATATTCTGAAATACAGTTTGTTGCTGCTGCAATTTTAATTAATATTAGAGTAATGTTTACACATTTTAAATAGTTGTATATTGAAAAGTAAACATTTATGAGCTCATTGTCCAAATCCAACTGCACATACATATCAGTATGTGCAGTTGGAAATATGACAGTGTCATGTCATATTTTCATCTCGCTTAAATATTCTTGCAGATATAAGCATTTCTCAATCATTCTTTTTTCTTCAAATCTTAGAACACTTACAAATATGGATAGTATGTTTTCTTACCTTCTGAATTTAAATCTCTTAAATTAATAAGAAATAAGAATTTATTATAAAATATTCATATTTAGATTACCATTTTTAACCAACTTTCAAGTGATCTAGAATAGCAAGAATGCTTTAATTTCAATAAATGGCATTTCAATAAATTAACTTCATAAATGGCATATTTTCCTTGACTATATTTATATATTCAATATTTCAATTTTAATATTTTATATTTTTATGTCTGTAGTAAAAGTTATTAGTTTTGAACTTTTTGCAAATATATTTATTATATACAGTAATACCTCGACTTACGCTACCCTGACTTATGCGAACCCAGAGTTACGCGATTTTCAAATCTCGTCGATTCCTCTTTTGTTTGAGCACCAGGCAACTCTTGATTACTCATTCCCTCCACACTATTGTTCAACTTACATGTTCGGACGTGTCGCGCGGAATTGACACATAGCTACAGTTTATTTTGTGTTATTTATTTGTGTTTGTTATTGAGAGACTCTATGTGGTGACTTCTTGTAACAATGAACGAATCAAAAGACAAGATAAGATTAACGAGAACATTTATTAGCTTACATACATCTGACTTGGATTTTACTCACATTGAGAAATTATACCCAGACTTACGCGGTTATCGCTCAGTCCCACCTATCGCGTAAGTTCAGGTTATTACTGTATTTTTAATTTGTAACTGTTGCATAATATTGTAATATTCTACCATTTTTATTAAATTTTGGTATTATTGTGATTGCCTGAAGAAAAATTTAATTTATCCAAAGTACTGCCTTTATCTAAAGTTTTGTATATATTTTTGTCTTTATTTACCTTGAACATTACAATTAGTTTTTAACATCAATAATAATAAAGTGCATATACATTCATGGATCTATCAACTCTTGTTTGCTTGATTTTATTTTATTGTCATGTAATTATTAAAAAACAAATTTATATATATATTCTTACATATAGACAGAATAGATAGATAGACAGATAGATAGATAAGAATTTTTATAAGCTATATAATTTGATATATTAAAAAATTTTCTACTCCTTAAAATTTATAGCCTTGATCTATTTACTAGTCTTATCAGAAATCCTCTCGGGTAGGACACTAGCTACTCTAATATAAACTGCTCAGAATGTGAATTCAATGCATAGATTTTTTTGTCTATTGCTGTAGTATACAAGCATTCTGTTCAGTGCTAGGCTGTTTTATAAAATTCAATCATAAATGGTGACATCAAATTTTGCATGTTCAGGGTGATCGTCAGATGAAATATAGTAGTACTGTGGTTATCGTTGGTTTTGGTTTTCGTTGATTTTTTTCACAAAAAATTTGTCTCAGATTTCATTGTCATCCCCACCTGACCTTGCTGTGAAAACAGGGTGACCCACATATTTTCCTGCTGTGACGACGTTTCTCGCTGTGTGAGCATTACCCCTCCCCTCATCTAGGCAAAATTTCATTGCTTTCCTTTCCTTTTAGCAACATCATGGAACCAAAGAAAGTTTCCAGAGCCAGCAACCTATCAAATGCCATGTTAAATGTTAATTTATTCTTTACATTCGTCTTTTATATTCATTTTATTTTAATTTCTTATTGTGTTTTGTATTAAATTCTATATTTATTCTGTATAAAATGTATTTTTGGTATGTATTTTGGAATGTCTAGAACAAATTAATTGGATTTGCATTGATTCTTTGATTCTGTATGCATTTTTAACAGATGTTTTTTATTGTTGTTTATGGTAGTTCAAAATATAAGAAATAAATAAATAATACAGTAAAAGCTGTCATTTTTTTTAATAATGTATGTTTTGAATAATGTCAGCTGATCCTCTGTTAGTAAAATTGTATATGGTAATACTTATGAGAATATGAAGGTCAGTAACACAACCAGGACTGTGGAGTCGGAGTCGTGGAGTTTTGGTGTTTTAACCGGAGTCGGATTGGTAAGGAAAAGTCTGAGTTGGAGTCGGTAGATTTTTACGCGACTCCACAGCCCTGAACACAACACCAGGTATGGAAATCAACACCCTATCCAGAACCTGTTCTGGTGTGTTTTGTGAATAATACAGTTTATCGAACTGTTAAATAGTTCTTCTTCAGGTGAAATATACTGAATAATCAATGGAACACATCAAAATAGAATGTGAATATTCAAATTAAATTGAATGCATGCTTGACGAAATTTGTTACGATGGGCATGCACATTTCATGCATGGATAGTGGTAATTAAATGCACATGTCCATCGTAATGAATTTTGTCAAGAATGCATTCAATTTAATTTGAATATTCACATTCTATTTGTGTTCCATTGATTATTCAGTATATTTCACCTGAGGATGATCTATTTAAGTTTGAAAACATTAGTGATAAACTGTATTATTCACAAAACACACTGGTAACAGGTTCTGGATAAGGTGTTTGACTTATGAGAATGTTTGGCTAGCTGAAATAGGACTTGCAATCATAGGCATAAGCATAGATCTGATACTTGATACAGTTAGTAATCCATATAGAAATATGAGAATTCATTTAGGGTGAATTTAGGAATAAAATGTAATTTGAAATCTTTGCATTCTTTAAAATCATTATTATTATATCATTTATTTTATTATTTTAGAATGCTTTATATAAATAGGACTAAGATTTGCATTGATTAATATACAGATATACTTCGCCTTGCGTCGGTAATTGGTTCCAGGAGATGCGACTTAAGTCGAAAAATGACATAAGTCGAATTTACTTGTCTCCGAATTTCCTCGTCACTAGGATAAACCACAAATAACCGTTCCCAGTTCTGTATTTTATTTATAAATGCATTTTTAATAATATGCAGTTAATAAGAATCTATTTTAAGCTTACAAACAAATAAATTTTAGTTTTTAATATAGTACAGAAAAAAGGATTCTAAATTTACGAATTCATGTACTGTACGTACAGTACATACTTGTAAATGTATATATATTTTAATATGATTTTATGTGCTTTAAACGCTTTTCTAGTGATATTACGACTCCAATATTTGTGATGGATGGACATAAAATCAAATAAAATGACTTAAACTTGATTTTTATTTTTCCATATATTTTTTGACAAACGGTGTATAATCGAGAACAACGTAACTCGAGATATACCTGTATTAACTGTTTTTGTGATTAAAATTTTGAATCATAAGCTTAAAACTAATCAAATACTGAGTGGATTTGGAAATAAAATATAATTTGAAATTTCATCTTCAGAGCCACCTGAAATGGATTTTCATCTTTTACATGGATTATGAATTGTAATTTATGAAATAAAAAGTAAATTATCAGAATATATGATGTGAGAATCAGGATTTAAGGGGGGTCATTTATAAATAAATTAGCAAGAAAAAGAACAACGTAATTTCAATTAGAAAATATTTTATAACTTTGACAAATTTTTCGAACAATGGATGTCAATACTTTCGATTTTGATAGGAAGTTCATTTCCTTTCTTACGATGACTAGTAAGTTAAATCAGAAGCAGCCACACGTGAGACTAGGCTGTCGACTTGTATAAAAGGGACATTTTTCTGTCACTCCGGGCAGTTCAACAAAGTACGAACATGCCATAGGAGAAAATTCATCAAAAGAAGTACTTGCCATAGAATATACAACGAAGACAGTTCCAAGATAAGAGGACCGCCGCATAAATGTCGATCATATTGTAATAGCGCATCCATAGATGTTACGATTCCTAAACGTCTCCTTGATCTTGAACAAGAAGACAGCATTCAAATACAAGATATGTACTGAAATTGGGAAGGTAGTATATATCTGTTAGATTGATGTAAACTCTCTCTCCTACATAAGTGTTAGATTTCACGCAATTAGGTTAAATATAGATTTAAGTTGGCTGGTTTGATCTCCCTACAGGATAAGCCCCGAATGTAATATTGGTAACTCCATTTATTGTAATTTGATTCAATTGTGTATTTTAATTTGTATTCATTCTTTAGTTTAGTTATATTAAATTTATTGTTTTATAAACGATCTTATTCATTATGCACTCCAACTCACTCAATGGTTGACCTTAGCTTATCTTGGATGTTGTCACTGGAGCATCACAGATATTTCTAATTAAGGATAAATTGTGAGTTAAACCACGAATAATAGTTTAACTGGTGTCACGTCCTGACGTGGATCCTGGTTTCACAATCTAGATTTTTATAAAAATTAAAGCCTTCCTTAAAAGTTAGAGATTGGATTGCAAGATCTTGTGTCGATTAAGTGGTACACAAGTTTACTAACTTTGTACCCTCGGCTTATTTCACAATAGCATCTGGCTAAATATTTCTTTGGAAGAAACTACTAGTCTATTGTATATAACTATTGGTTACTATTGAAAAAATTAGCATTGAATTTTTAGATTGTTTATCTTAATCTTTCTTTCTTAAAGTTAAGTCAACTTCAAAGACAATAAACACATTCAAATCACAATCTATTCAATAAAGATCAACAAGAAGATTAATAATAAACTTAGCATTTCAAAAATTTTTTGAATGATTGATAATTTAGATTTATTGGGTAATCAGAAAAATGGTATATTAAAAGCCAACAAAAATTAATTTTGTTCCAAAGAAATAATTTTTTGTTAATGAATCAGACTTACTATCCTTTGGAATAATCATGATTGTTTGTTAGTTTGTTTGTGTGTGTGTGTGTGTGTGTGTATTTTATAAGGATTGGAATTTTTAATTATAGTAATACTATATGAATAATATAAAAGACAAAATTTAATGTGTACTTAGTTAGATGAAACAATGTCAATCACTTGTCATTGTTTCATCATAATGCACTTTATAATAGTAACTCATAATAACTTTATAATAATAACTCATGAGTAACTATAAAACTATAGTAACTCATCACTGAGTTACTATAGTTTTTATGATATATATGGATCTATGTCTGCATGGATTAAGGTAAAGTGCATTATGAGCAGGCAATGATATTATCATATAGAGAGATAAGGATCAAATATCTGTTTTACATAGTAATTAGCCAAATTAAACATTCTTTCTTGGCAATTTAAGATAGATTTTCTTATTAGCTTTCATGAAAATTTTTACAAAAATGTCAATTTTACTGTTTAATTTTTTTCCAAAATTGGTCATCTTGTAAACTAAAAGACCTAGTTTCAAAAAGATATCTTAGCTGCTTTCTTGAAATAAAATTTTCTTCTGAGCTATAAATCATTCAAAATCATTGCTATGATGTTACCAAATCATAAATTTACCAGTATCATATATTCAGATTCTTTATTAATAATGTTTGTGTTTTTATATTTCGTGTTATAAATCTCAGTTTTACTAATAATGCTTGTTTAATACAATTTAATTTTAATGTTAATTTTTAATATTGATGATCATCTAATATATAAAAAATTTAACAAGATATTTGTGTATGTATATATCCACACACAAATTGATTATTGTGATATGAAGATTTTATTTCATTTTATAGGTATATTTCATATAAAATATTCAAATTCTAAAAATTACTTTCATTAGTTCATAGATCCCGATCAAAAGAAAAAAGATCTTTAATGGGTACTTTGAGAAGAAGATTAAGTTTACGAAAAACCAGATCAAAATCTATGGAACAAAAAGCTGATAAAGATGAAACTAGACATCCAAGTAGCCGCAGTGTTTCAGCTGATCGTTCTCGATCTATGCCAGAATCAAGAGAAACATCATCATTAAGATCATCTGGCAAGTATTTTATTTTATTAACAAAATTTATATTGTTATTGATTATCATTCATGAGATATTCATGATGAATTGTAACATTATTATAATATTAAACCTATTCCCAACATTTGAAAATCTGAAACAGATTTATCCTAACTAGGAAAAATAATTAGTAAAAACATTATGTAAATCTAATCTAAGAATATAATTATAGAAGTTTTAAATGAAATGCAATATCTATTATATTCATTTCATAAAAATTAAGTAAAATTAAACACTCAAACATAATTGTTTGAATAATTTTTTACACTAGATTTTTTTATTTCTGTCAAAAACTTAAATTTTATGTACTGTATATGATTATTAAATACAGAATTTTAAAACCTGTTATGTGAAGATATAAATTTTATAATTGCAGTCAAAAGTTTTTATATAAATTAATCCTCCAATTAAAAACTTTTTACAAAACATAAAAAATATTTATTATAATAGATATTTTGAATTTATTCAGTTTGTCAATTAATCACTGTCAGTGCTCAGTGGTTTCAAAGATTTCCAAAAACAGCTAAGAATTAGTTTTAAAAAATGACTTTTCACTGCTAACACAGAATTGTGACAAATATAAAGTGGGGCATTTAAACCTGAAAAAAATGAAGGATCTCTGAAACAAAATGTTGCAGAGGAAAATGTTTAAAATAAAATATGTTTGTTTTGAAGTCAAAAGGGTAACAGATTTATTTATTTTGAGCATGATTTCAAGGTTGCATCAAGGTCAACTTGTTATTTTCAAATGAAAACATATTTTTTATAGTGGCAGTTGAATCTATGCAAAATAACATAACTTTTACCTGAAAGATTTTTCTGTTTATTGCTTACTTTTGACATTTAAATTTTAAAGGCAGGCTAACAACATTTTTCTTTCCAATGTAGAAACTAATGTTTTTATTAGAAATATACAAAAATTCAATTTTAATGAGTAAATTAAGCTAACAAGTATTAGAAATGATGACCTTCAATCCTAACAATTTTTAAATATGTTCAAAAAATGATGGAAAAATTCCTGAAGAAAAGCTTTTAGTCTGTCAACATCCCTTGCCTTTTTTTATACATTACCATGTACTTTTGTAAATAAATAAATATTTCTTATATTTATACAATAATAAGTATGTTTTTTATTATATATACTTGTGTATATGTGTATAAATATAAATTGTTATTCTTTTGACACTAACAGCTCCAACATTAATTTTCAGATAGAATAAATACAAAACTGCTATTAAATTTTGTATAAAATGCAATTATGTTTTTATTAATAAAAGCTATCATACACTTTCATAAACTGTATGATAGCTTTACTTTCATAAGTAACATAGAATATCATTAATAAAGTCATTTTTACTATGTATACATAAAATTATAGTTTTAAATAAATTTATATAAAGTATTAATACAGACTAGATATAAACAAAATATATGTAAATATTGCTTATATTTGGAAAAATAAATATGAATTCTTATGAGATTCTAGGTGGAATACTTTTAATAATAAATTTTATTGTCATATATAATAATTCATTGTAGAAAAAAAGCCTTTAGAAATATGACTATTCTTTTGCATTTATATTGATAAAAGCCTGATGTACTTGTTAATTAATTGCATTTATATAAGAAATTGCATGTATATGTTGCATGCATTTATTTAGTATAATCATTATAGTAGTATTGCACAAATGTGAATAATTTACTTTATGTATATATGTGTATATATGTATTGTAGTTATTTTATTTATTTATTTTTTACTTTTATTCATGCATTGCTGAGAATTTTGTGATAAAGGTAAGAAAAGATGATGTACAAAATATATAATAGCATGGAGTATATGTTGACTTTATTATTTATAATTAAAATTGCATGAATGTTTGAATGTTTATATATGAAATTACAGTATAAACTTTTAGTAATTTTGTGAACTTTATTCATAGAAAATTTTTTGTACATATTAAATAATTAAAAGCATAAAATTTTCAAAACAATCAATCACATTTATTTATTTTACTTCTATATTTATTCACTTAATAATTATCTAAATCGAATACATTAAAATAAAAATATTATCAAATTATATCTCTAACTAGAAACTAATAAGTAATATGGTATGATTTAGTTAATTAGTTAATACAAAAATTTTACTTGCAAAATTTTTTAAATTAAAAACTTGTTTGAATTATTTTGAAATACTGTTTTACTTTCAATAAATATTACATTATAATCCTAATTATCTTAGGTAATGTGGACCAATGCTACCTTGTTTACCCATAAACTCATATAAAATGGACAGTTTTTTCATTTCAAAAATAATTTATGTTCATAAAAATTATGAACATAAAAAATTTATATGTATCACTTTTAAACTTATTTTTATATCTTAGTAAATTTAATCTTATATAAGAGCAATATCTTTTACATTGTTTATTATACAGCTAATAATGTATAATAGTTTTAAGAATAAAAATGTATATTATTGTACTGTAGTTATACTTTAATTTGAATGGTTTGTTTCACATTAAAGTTAAATAATATAAGATAACAGAAACAAAGTTATTTGTTTCTGTTATCTTTTATTAGGAAAGTTTTATTAAGAAAGTTTAAAAAAAGTCTTAAAAGTCTTAATAAAATATCTTTTATTAAAAAAGTTTAAAAAAGTAACATGTATTGATAACAGAAACAAAGTTATTTGTTTCTGTTATCAATACATGTTACTTTTTTAAACTTTCTTAAAAAATCCATAGAATTTTTATTTTATAGTGGTTTCTCTCTTTTGTCTCAATACTCCAGAATTAAGCATCATTTTTCATGATTGATTTGTCCCAGATATATCAGATCCCATCTCTCACCTCTTAGCCATCTTCATTTTGGGTCTGGCCAATTTCCAGAGGATGGGCATGGAAAAAAGCTGACTGTCTTTAGAGTGGAAAGAGTTTAAAAAAAAAAAAACACTTTAGCTTTGGCCATTGCTCAGTCAGTACAGCAAAGGTTTTATAAATTATAGGAAAAGTAGTGTATTCAATTACAGACTTACCTTGGATAAGACAAGACAGAACCTCAGATAGTCTATTGTATTATAATTACTATACCATTAACACTTATTGCTGAGTACAAGTTAAATTGTAGTTGGCAATCTGTTATCAGACTGTATGAGTTACACTTGTGTGCAACTCATGTAAAGTCATCCCCTTCTTATATAGCAGGTGTGGCCAAACTTTTATCCCTTAGGGGCTACTTTTTCGGTAAAATAGAGTCTGTGAGCGACTATGAATATGTCACGTTACTGTAATATATCTGACACATGATTTTGCACCATTTTATGCAATTGCCATTTATATGTGCATGCGTTAACATTCATTTGCATTGTTCATTGGGATAAATACAAACAGTATGGGTTACGTTGCACACAGTCTATTATTGTAAGAATAAATTATCGAATTAAGATTTTTAAATATTAATTTAAGTGAAAGCAAATTGTTCAACTTTAGCTTCGCGGGCTACTTTCAAAACCTTTGCGGTCGACTGCAGACTATGTGTTGGCCATCCCTGCTATACAGTATCTGCATGTACCAATGAATGTTGATTGGTTTTTGTCAAAAATTAGACAGCACTATACCACTCTTGCTTCATACACTGCTCAAGAGGTATTTCCATTTTATCAGTCTATTATTTTATATTCTCATACATCAACAGTGTTGTCAGTGGCATTTACTGTTGCCTCTGAGTTGGAAATGTCATGTTTCAAAATTACTATGATATTGCTCATCCTCAACTTTTAGTGGCACTTTTTCAGTTTTCTATTGAATGTGTGCCTTGTATGTATATATCATATATATATATATATATTATTATTATTATTATTATCATTTGCATNAAGCTAGGCATCTTCAATTTAGAAACCGAGAGAGTTCTGTTGTTACTTGATAATGCCTGGCTGCATATTGCTTATGACGCTGAAGCTCTTTCCATATCTTGCCTATAGTCTTGATTTGACATTATCAGACTTATATATATTTTCCAAATTGAAGAAATTGAATAAATCTTTCAGTTCTTGAAAGTAATGGAATAAATTATTTTTTCTAGATTGTCATATACAATGTCACAAACCATGTCATGTCAAAGTTGAAGGATTTTGTCCCAATAGCACAGTCAATACCATGGAAGTGTAAGTGCTAAACTGTAGTTTCAATTATATTTCAATTATAGTGATATATTTTGATTTTAATATATATCATTTCAAAATATTTGAATTTGCAGTGTACTTATTTTTAATGGCTGTTGGTAGAAGTTGATAATTAATTCAGAAAATAAATTAAATTAATATTAAATGGTAGTAATCATAGATATTACAGATTTCTGTTTTCTGATGTTAAATTGGAGTAAAGTAATTACCAGTGGTGTGCCATCATTGGAAGCAGTGGATGCGCTGCTTCCCTTGTATTTTCTAAAAAATAAATACATATTAATTTTGATTATATGAAAATAATCGCACAATATTTTATTATAACTGCATTATGTATCTTATTACAAATTTCTATACTACACATGAAAAAAAAGATAAGATTGCTATTGTATATTCAAATATTAGTGGTGGAGTAGCGGAGTGGAAATGCTGTATTGTCAGCATCCAAAAAGCCAGATCCACGCATGCACTTTACAGAGCACCAACCTCACCTGGTTTAGCTGGTGGAAGCCTAGGACCTTGGGTGGATGCTACATGTATACTGCATCCAATTCTATCCGGGACCGGTTCCGAGTTGTTAGCTGCCCGCCCGCTAGATATTTGGCCGCCCTCGCCCAATTACATGAATCATGAGTAGATTTATAACTTAACCTAACTGATAAGAATTTACTGGTATGTTTTTACGATAGTTCTGTATAGTTGACAGGAGTTTTAAAAAATCCATTAAAATATTTGATATTTTTATTCCGCTCTCCGATTTTATATTACTCATGGAATTTCAATATTAAACCAGTGATATTACAATTTCGTATATCCCATCTTAAAGGGATGTAGAAAAAACGTGTACAATTCTTGTACAATGTTAAAAAATTAACTGTTACTTTGGTAGCATCATTTACAACTAAATTTAATGAATGAGAGAGTTGCACGA